AAAAAATAATGCTGATTTATTATTATTTACTAATTATACCATTATTAAAAAAATTATCGCATTATCTTATATAATAAATTTGTTATTTTCTACAATTTATTTTAAATTTTTTTTATTAATTTATATTATAGATAAGAAAATAAAGCTTTATACATTTTGATTTTGACTATTTAAAGTTTTTTTATAAAGTATCTTGTATCTTAGATACTTTTTAAAAAAAGATACAAGTATCTTATATCTTATTGAAATTTTTCTAAAGTATCTTGTATCTTAAATACAAAATTTTATAAAGTATCTGTATCCGAATACAATTTTCTGAAAATTTGCCCAACCCTGCTAATAGCGCACTAAATATTTTTCAATTATAAATCTTTTAGCGCTCTCCTTTTAAGTAGCTAAGTAGTATAATGAATGTAACTTTAAACATTAATATTTAAATATAATATCATAATTAATTATAGTTTTTATGAATGATTTAATATTTTAAGATTTAAATTTATATTTTCAATTTGTATTATCATCTGGTGTAAATTATTTAAAATATCATCACAAATGGATATCCAAATTGATGTATGTAAGTGAGTCAGACAATGATGATATTAATGAAATGGAAGGTATCCTGGAAGAAAATGTTCTAAATAATAATACACATTTTTCATTTCCAAAATTTAAAAATATTTTCAAATTAATGTAAAAACAAAAGTGGCTACAAATTTATTTGTTTAAAATATAAAAAAATATATATCCTCAAATAAATCTAGGAGCTATAACTTTAAAAAACACCTAAAGGTAATTGTCATTTTTGAATTCTATTAGTATTTATTCCATAAGAATATTCATGCCAAAGTTTTAAATAGATAGAAAAACATCGTAATAATTTTAGTATATGGGGAGACTACATCCAAAAAGACAAATTCAATTCAAGCTAAATTGATTAATAATATTGCACATGCCAATATTTCTCAAATACTGGCTGATAAAGGCATTGTCGATTTTATAATTGATACAGATTGATACAGCTCAGCCAATGTTCTTAGTTGATAATTCATCATCATAATTTAAACTCTATCCCCAGGTACAAAAATTTTATGTCACCAGATAATAGCAGATTACTTTGAAGTAATGAAAGATGCTCTATTAGCAGAGTTGTCAGAGATATCCTATATATGTTACCATGGTAGATATTTGGACACATCACAGAAGGTAGAAACTTATTTACATTTATAAATTGATCTTATATTAATTTTTTGGAGCTTATTTGGGAATCACAGGCCATTCGCTAGACCCTAAGACTTTAAAAAGAAGATTGTATCATTAGCCCTCAAAAGTATAATAGGATGCCCGACATACGATGTACTTGCAAATAAATTTATGATAAGATTTAAACTATTTATTATATTAGGAATATCATAGATTTATATAAAACTATATCCCAATTTTAACTAAACTGGCCTTATATAAATTCCGATGAGGCTAAAGATCAACGTGATAGGCTCATGGTAAAGCTAAATAGTCTCATACCTAACAAAGATGCCTTAGTTACAACAACAGCAAAAACGATTTTCACTGATAATATTTTTGAAATAAAGGATACTATTATAATAGAAAATCCTCTAGACGCTTTTTTTTAAATCTAAAAATACTCTAATGAGTATTTTTGATAAATTTTCTTATAATAAAAATAAGTATATAATATTAAATGCAGCCTTACCCTCAGGTGATAGTGTTGAGAGATTATTTAGTTAGGCGAGACTTATACCTTCTGATCGTTGCTCTAGATTTGGGAAATTATTTTATTATTAAAATTCAAAAATATAAATAAAAAATGAATATTACCATAAAAAGTTATTTTTATTAAATAAATTATAGTCTTTTTACATAAATTTTTTTATAATCAAAACAAACTATATTTAATTTATAAATGTTGATTTTTATGTATTATATACTATACAATTACATTATAAGCAAAAAATAAAACAAATTTATTTCTAAATTTTTTTTCAAAAAGTATCCAAAGCTACTTTAAAATAGTAGCTAATAACACGCCACTTTTTTTGATGGGTAGTGATAGCGGTAGTGCGCTTAGTGCGCTACTTTTTTTGACAAATAGCGATAGCGGTAAGGCGCTACTTTTAAAAGTAATGTTTAACAACTGGAAATTAAATATAAATATAATAAGTCCCAAATTTAAGGTCTTATCATCAAGTGTTAAAAAGTTATTCCTTTAAACATTGTTTTCAATACCTTTATCCCAGTCTCCCCTATAATATTATAAAAAACATTAAAAGTTTTAGTATTATTTCAAATCATAATAAATACACGATATTTATATTTTTTAGTAAAAATTTACTGATCCAATTTTTTCACCTGTTCCTTAATTATTCAGACAGATTAAGTATTGGATCTTACAAAAAATATATATATTAACTTCTTGTATATACAATGTAAATTAAATTCAATAAAAACTATATAAAATTATTCGGATATCTTCAATAGTAGAATAAATATAATTAATCGACAATATCCAATATTTAATTCACATAGAATTGATTTTTGTGTTGCTATTTACCTTGTTTATTAATTTCATATATTCATCTAGGGAACGGAGCTCCGAAAGTAATCAAAAATAAAGATGGGAAATTGATAATAAAGGAAAAAGAAATAATGAATAGATCAAAAGAATATTTTCAGAAGCTTCTCAACTTTAATCCCCACATACTACATCTAGACGAACACTCCCCATGTCAAAACCTTGTACAACCTATAACAGAACAAGAAATAATCACATGCCTCAAGCATATGAAAAACAACAAAGTTAGGGGTCCAGATGATATTCCAATATAAAGCCTTAAAGCACTAGGAGATGATGAAATACATCTCCTCACAAATCTGTACAATAAAATACTGGGAAATGAAGAGATCCCTCAAAAATGGAGGCAGAGCTATCTAGTTCCTATCTTCAAAAATAAAGGGGATCCACACAATTGTCAAAATTACAGGGGCATAAAACTAATGTCACACTGTCTAAAACTATACGAAAAAATAATAGAAAAAAGATTAAGAGACATAATCGAAATAGGAGAGACTCAGTTTGGCTTTATGCCTGGAAGATCAACAACTGATGCGATGCTATCCACGCAATTGGGCAAATGAGTGAAAAATACAGGGAAAAGAACAAAAAGCTACACATGGTCTTTCTCGATCTAGAAAAGACCTTCGATAGAATCCCAAGGAAACTTATCTGGTGGGCGCTACGCCACAAAAATGTTCCCGAAAAATATATACGAATAATACAGGATATGTATATGGGCCATACAACAATGGTCCGTAGCACAACAGGTACTTCAGCCGGCTTCACAATAGCCGAAGGAGTTCATCAAGGGTCGGATCTCAGCCCACTTCTCTTCATTACAGTAATAGATGTATTAGCACAGTCTATACCTCAAACAGTCCCGTGGAATATGATATTTGCAGATGATATTGTGATACTTGCCGAATCCAAGGATGAAATGAAAGAAAGATTAGTGAGTTGGATAAATATCCTAGAAAAGCACGGACTAAAAGTTAGTAGAGAAAAGACGGAGTATATGGTGATAGGAGGAGATGAAACAGGGAGTATTGATATAAATGAATGGCAGATATCGGCAATTGAAAGCTGCAAATATTTGGGCTCCACTATACAAACAAACGGCACAATAGAAAAAGAGATCAAGAGTAAATTAATCATGGGTGGTTAAAGTGGAGATCTTTATCTGGAGTGCTATTTGACAAAAGAATCCCACACAAATTAAAGGGAAAAATTTACAATTCCATAGTACAACCAACTATTCTATATAGTTCGGAAACATGGCCAACCAAAGAATCAGACGAGAGAAATCTACAAACTATGGAGATGAGAATGCTGAGGATGATTGCTGGGGTAACAAGAAAGGATAAAGTGCGCAGTACAAGAATACTAAGTAGTTTAAAGGTAGTGCCCATTAAGACTAAGTTAATGGTAAACAGACTTAGGTGGTATGGGCATACAATGAGAAGGCCTATGAACTACATAGGAAATATATTTGAGAGTTTGGAAGTGATGGGCAAACGCAAAAGAGGAAGGCCAAAACTTCAATGGGGCCATAAAGTTAGAGCCAATATAAAGAAATATAAATTAGATAAAAGAGATTATATGAATAACATAAAGTGGAGAGAGATGTTGAAGGAGCTAACCACCAGAAAAGGTGAAAGCTAAAGAGAAAAAAATAAATATTCATAAACAAAATAATGTTAAAAAAATTATTTTAATTTATAAATCTTCATTTTTTAAATAATTGATGTGTTAATATATCGTTTAAAAAAGCCAGTCAAGATCCGGTTAATTTAAAAGAACCAGGAAGGAAGATCCGAGCCTGGACTGGCACGATCTTGGTACATCTATTTTTTAGTATTTAAAATACAAATACTCTCTAAATTATTAAAATAAATACTAATACAAATATTTAATTTTTAAATCCCTGGGTATTCTATTCTTTTAATTTTAACTGATACCAGAAGTCGATATTCAAAAATGATAATTAACTATCATAGTTAAGTTATAGATGCAAAAATTTTTTTTTAGCCTTTATATAACAATTAAATGATTTTTAAAAAATTGATCTAGACATTATAAATTGATCTTTTAAGGTTTAACTTATTTTATTTTACAAATTTTATATACTAATTATAAATAATAACTAAATAAAAAATGAGAAGATGAATTTTATATCTTTGCCACAATATAATACTTTGGTATTGACTTAGTATACTGGTGTCGATGGTATTGGAATCAGTCTTAAAATAGTATTCCTGCACAGAGTTTTGCTTAGAAGGGTATATTTAAATTTAAAAAATATATATTTCAATCATATCTATTATTTGATCACTTTATCGGGATTTCAGTCTAGATAGAAATATAATAGCGATTTGATAAATAAAAATCTTTATTTATTTCTTATTATTTATAACATCCTTGAAAAAAGATTCATAATGTTCCGGGTGTACATCAAAACGAAGGAGAAGAATGGCACGTTATTAGGAGATTCAGTGATTTTTTGGGTCTGCACGAAAAACTAGAAGCAAAATACTCTCCACTTGGTTATGTTGTGCCACCACCACCATCTAAAAGCCTCTTAGGTTTTTAAATAATATTTTAAAATAGTGAACTAAATACTAGATATGAAGAGATTAAAAAACGCTGAGGTAAAAATGATTATTGAGGAATAAGTGAAGGGAAAAAGAAGGGGGGGGGGGCTAATTGAATTGAAAAGGAGTTTAATGAATAAGTAAAGTAAACGATTTTTATGGAAAATGGTGATAAATATAAATTATATCTAATACACATTATTCTTAGGCATGACTAAATTAAAGATAGGTTCCAAAGATGACACCTTTTCCGCAGATTTTGCTGAAAGGAGAAGAGCCGCACTTGAAAGGTGAAAAACATTGTTTATAATTTAATTACTAAATTTAATTGGCTGGTTTTTAGATTAATTATTTGGTAATTGTAAAAAAAAATCTTGCGAGCCCTAGGAAAAAATGCAAAATGACAAAAATATCATCGGAGAATATGTAAAGAGAGGGGGGGGGGTCATCAAATTCTGGAAATAAAAAACCAAATAATTTTAAAAGAATATTGCCCCGTCAGTTAAAATCAAACAAAATATTATATTTTGCTAATTCTTGATCCAAGCAAGGGCCTGTGCTAGAGTTTAAATTTTGCATAATTTAACCTAAGACTTGGAATGTTAAAAAAAAAATTCTTTCCTTTTCCATTTATTTCGTATGCCTATTTCTTAAATTATTTAATTTTTTTATAAATTTTCTTTAGATCGGTCATATTTTTAATATACTTTCTTAGAAAAAAATCTAAATTTGGTGTTGCAATACAACTATCTTAGCTTCATAGGAACTCAATGGCATCTATCTTCCCTTATTAATATTTTTTAAATGTTTTTAATCCATATCCCATTTTTTTAAATATTAGCCTGGGCAGAAATTTTTGTTTTTATTAATAATTTACTATGCTCCATCGGGGAGAGGGGGGATCGACGGGGTTCGATGGTCAGGAATTGTCGGAGGGTAGGACTTGTGGACCCGATTTTGCTGGCATTTTGTTCATCGTACCCAACTCCCGTCGCGGGTCACACAGAATTAAGAAAACAACATTTTAGTTAACGCGTGTTAGTTATAGCGACAGAAAAAGTGTGTAAAAAAAGAATTGGAAAAAATAATAAGACGATGTAAATGCCTGAGGAATATAAGAATAGAAGAAATTGAAACACTGTTCTTATTAAATACTGGAGCTAAAATAAGTTGAGCATAAAGGATTTTAATGAATATTTGCCAGAAAAAAGAGTTCATAGTAAGAAATAATGACTGACAATTGGGTAGTATTGTGGACTAGTTTCAAGTGAATAAAATATAATAACAAGGTTTTTTTATAATTTACAATTTCATGAAAAACAAAGTAAAGGAGGAGGGATAAAATGACAAACAATTTAACGACCAGTTTCAAGTGAAAAAAATATAATAACGGTATTTATAATTTACCAATTCGAGTAAAACAAAGTAAAGAATAATAATGGACAAAATGAAACAATGTGGGGAGGCTGGGAAAGAAGGACTATATAAGAAGTTTATGTGAAGAAAATTTCATAACAAGTTATTGTCAGTAGTATTTAAAAAAAGGTTACTTTAAACGCAACACTCAAACCCCCTCTTATTTATTTTCCCATAGACTGTCACTCCTAACCGCCTTGACCTGTTTTGCACATTCTTGCCATCATATAGTAACAATCCCACAGTCCCTTGCCACATGTCCCCCCTTTCTACATCTAAAACAATACGTATTTTGCTCCACCGTTTCTTTTACATTAGGCCCATTAACCTCTCCCGTTTTTCCCTGTCTATTGTTCGCACATTAGAAGCATTTTGACCCATCCCTCTCTGTGGAAAGCCTCTTTTGTATTGCTCATATTACACTCTTCCTTATGACCAAATCTGCCACAATCCGCACATCTTTATTTTTCTTGCTCCATGGAACAATCTGGGGCTATATGTCCAAATTTTCCACAGTTAAAACATTTTGTCTCACGGTAATCACGAACCATATGTTGTTGATTATTAATAAATATATATTGTTTTATAGTATAAATAGAACAATACATGATTTCTAAAATAAACCCGGTTTAAGGCTGGGCAAAGGGGACCAAAGACCCATTATGGGGGGCCTGGGGGAAGAAGTTCCACAAGTTTTCATAATGGACCCCCCAGGGAAAATTAAGGCTCATATTATTCTTTAAAATTTTATGTTCAAAATTAATATTTTTGAAAATAAAATAATTTGTTTATGGTAGTATATACAACTAATATCTTTTTTTTCAATTTGCAATGATATAAAAATTTTATTATTTTAAAATTTTTAATTAGAAATGCATACATGAGCGGGGTTTTCCATGTTGACGGGACTTTTTTCCGGGTTTTTTTCCTTAGGATTCCCAGGGGTTTTTATTGAAAAATTTTATTTTTAAACAAAAATATATATCTTCTAAATAATAGTTATACTTTAAAACTGATATTTTCATTCCAATATATAATTTTTAACTTAATTAACACTTTTTTTCTACTTCCTTTTAAAGTTAACCATTGTCCTCTTTTTTATGTTAACCATTGTCCTCTTCTTGTTATTAGTTCATGCATCGATAGATGACTTATAATGTTATGATAAGAAGATTTATACATAAATAATAATATTTATGAAAGCCTTTAGAGGTCATTAATAAACATAATTTAAAAAATATATGCAATAGATACATAAATCGAACGGCAAACCATTGGTGCCTCATGAAGGATCCCTGCCTTCACGAATTTCTGCAAGCCGAAGGCGAATTACCTAGGGCAGTTAACACCTCATCTTTGAGTAGCAACCAAGTTATGAAAATGATAAACAGAGTTGCTTCTGATATCACTAGTAAATTGGCTCTGACCAACATAATCAAAGGCTCATCTGGAGAAGACAGTGACCACGTAATTGTATTATTTATTTACTCTTATTATATATTTAGGTTTTGACGGACCTGTCTGAACCGATCAAAGTTGGATCTGTCGGATTTGAACAAATATTTTCTTCAGACTCAAGTCGGACTTTTAAAATTTTTTGATCCGAAAGAAAGATTGGCCTCGCCAAAATTTTCATTATTTAATTTTGATAAATTATTTTAATTTTTTTGCTTTAGCGCTTAAAATTTTCATCAATTCTTGAAAAGAAAGTAAATTAAATTTTTCATAACTAATTTTTATCGGATCTGACAGTATTTTTAAAACTCAAAAAAGTTGGATAGGATCTATTGCACAATTTCGTTGGATCAGGCGCGACTTAAAAAATTAGTCTAAGACAAGGCTATGTTATATTAATATATCTAGATAAAATAGAGGAAATTATACCATTTTAATTATGTAATATTTTCTGATCGCTTTTACTTATTTAGTATTTATATCTAACAGTGCTGTAAATATAACTTCGTTAACTATTTTTTTTTCCAGATATTATATATAAAAAGCTATATAATTACATAATTATGACCTAAAATATAGTTATCAATAAAATGTAATTGTAATATATAATTTAAAGTTTTTATTAATAATTTTTAACAACGATTGCTCTACAAAATTTTGATCAGATAAACAGGAACTTTTAGCACCTAATCTTAAGACATTTTTTAATTTAGTAAAGATATAATTTTTTAATTGATTCTTATGTTTGTATTAAAATAAAATTTAAATTAATTTGTAAGATCTATAAGAATCTTTTAATTTATCTGAGATTCGGCTAAAATTAATTTTTAATTAAATAAAAAAAATATATATAATAATTTAGTTTTGGATAATATTCAACTCAAGAATTGTTTTTAATAAAATTTAATCATTTTTATTGTTAACTTTTCAAATCTGACAAGTTATTATAGACAATAATATAGATAATAAATAACCTGTGGTAGCCGCAATTTCTTTCAGTTGGATTTTTGTCATAATTTTGCACTTATCTATATCTAAGTTTTTCTATATTTAAAAGTAACATATGATGCTTCATCTCAGAAAAATAAACGTTGTTACTTTCCAATCTTAACAAATAACGTTACTTTTAGATGTTACTTTACAGCACTACTTTAATTTTATTAGAATTGAAAACGAAATATAGAAAGCAATTATGAATTAAACCAAGAACGAAAAAATGAAGAAATTTAAAATTTATTTTATCAAAAATTTTCGTAATAGTGGTTTGAAGATATGCAAAATCAGATCGAAAATTTGGATTCTCAAATGCGAAAATTGCACGCCAGCGTGGACGCTTTGGTACATCACAGGAAAGGTAAACATAGGCATGACCTTTAATTATTGGCTTTTCTCATGGCTATCAGCTATAACATAAGATTTTATTTCAGGTGTAAAACATATAGCTTTAATTTAAGGGTTAGGGGAATATATAATAGTTCAATGATTTAATCACTATAGTCATTGGACGACACGGATAGAATTTGATTTTCCATATAGTTTACTTTTATAAAGAAGTTCAATCTATTTATTATGTAGGAAATAGTGGTCTTCAAAGCCCGGCTCGTTTCAACCCGTCAAATTTTTTACTCAGTCCGTTATAGTTGTTTTAAACACAGCCAGTTTAATTTTTTATATAAATTTTTCGGCCATCACATTTTTATTATCTATTTTTCAATGTTAATTAAGGCTCTATATCTCTACTCTATGGCTATCTATTTCTATAACAACCATTTTGTAAATCAATTGTGTTTGATATTGTTATTTGTAATTCAATCATATCATAAACTTATTTAATTTTTTGTAAATTTGCTAATTTATGGATTTCGTATTTTAGTTAGACAGCTCTTAAAATACAAAGAAATAAGCATTTTGTAATCAATTTTAAAATTGTATTAATGAAAATATTAGCTTGAAATTCAAAAGAAATATGTCAACATTTTAATGTCCGGGCTGGCTTTTTAAAATTTTATTAAAAATTAGATTTGCGAAGCCATACCTGATTTTTTATATATAAATTGTCTAGACTGGTTCCAAACCTCTGATCGGGCTTTTGGACGGGCCAGGCTTTTCAAATCTGATGAGAAATTAATTATTTTATACTAGAGTTATTACAATGAAAGTAGGAAATTAAAATTTCTATTTTCCCATAAAATGAAATTTGAAAAGAGGGAACTTATTTTTTTAAAGCAAAAAATATCGGTTTAAAAACAACGACTCGATAATATTTTTTTTAAATACCTAATTTAAATTGGAAATATTTTGTAAGGTTTAAACCAGATCAGTTCGTCGATATTAATCATTTAAATTATTTTAAAAAAACTCCCAAAATATGAAAATCACACTTTTTATACCTTTGAAATATAACTCATTCAATTATTTGTAAAATACCTTTTAAGTTTGAAGGATATTGATTAAGAAAATTTGCCAATTTACTGTAGAAATTTGTAAAGAATATTTTTTATGATTTAAATCTTTTTATTTTTTAAAAGAAGCTAATTCTATAAAAAGGTCATTTAAATTAAAATTAAAATCGCCTCGCATTAAATATTTCAACATTTAGATACCAAAAATAGCATTTCATACTTTAAAAAAATAGGTAATTAGATAAAAATAGTAAGATTTGGGTTTTGAATTAAGAGTTAGATAAGGAAGAGAGGAGAATTATTTAAACAAACCGAAGAGAGGAGAATTATTTAAACAAATCATACTTAATTCCTATAAAGAACTCTCAACCAACACAGCCAATTTTTCCAAATCTCTAGCTATGCTCAGTAACAGTGAGGAAAATAGCGCCCTCTCTCGGGCTCTTTCTCAACTAGCTCAAGTGGAGGAGAGACTTGAACAAATAACTGGCTCGGACATCTTGAATCTTAACCCGTCTTTACAAACTGATCAGGTTTTATATTTATTTTTTAAACCAATATCACTTTTTTAATCGAACATGATATCAATAGATACCACAAAATTAATTTGATTAAATGTAAGTATAAAAAAAGCAAAGATGTAAAAATTCATTAATATCATGTTTTATGTATTATTCATCGTTTTAAACTAATCCATGAAAATTATTAAAATACCATGGATAAGTAAGCGTCAAATAATATAAAATTATTAATCAATTTTTTAGAAATGATATTTTTAGATGTGATTTATCCTAAAATACTTTATTTTTTAAAATTAATATGTCGAATAGTGATCTGCATCAGGCCTAATTTTTCAAGTCCGGCCAAGCCCTAAATTTTTTTTTAAAGTTTTGCCCGGTTCGGCTTGAACCTGAAATTTTTTTAAAAAAATTTTGCTGGCCCGGCCCGAATTTATTTAAATATAGAAATTAATTTTTATAATAACTCAAAATAAACAATATATGTTATATGGCGTCTGCTTTCTATAAATAAAATCACATATTTTTATTTTACATAAAAAATTTCACATAAAATTGATAAATTTAGGTATATTTTAAAAATTTCTAAGACCCAACCCGGCCCAAATTTTCTTAAAAAATATTAGGCCCGGGTACGGGCCGGGCCTACTTTTACAAATTTCTATCGAAGTCGATATTCTCTATAGTATTTACAAGTACAATATATCTTATTATTTAGTTTGTTTTGTTTTTCATAGTTCTCTTTTATTTATGATGGTGTTTTAAGGAAGTAGAGCTTGCTCTGCATGATATAATTTATTTTTCTCATTTTTCCTTTCTACCATGTTTTATTTTTTTTAATTAGGCTAAGTCCAAAATATTAAAAAATACAATTCGCAAACTTTTAAAATTATATGTAAAATAACTATAACCTTTATTTGGGATAAAAATAAAAAAATGCCCAAAATATAATTCTAGAAAATTTTAAAAATTTAATATACGATTTCATTAAAATTTTTTAACTCTTGATAGTTTTGAAACAAAGTTATAAAACAATCGAATTTTTTTTTAAAGATTTTGGACTTTGAAGAAGGCATTTAGGAGGCAGAGAGTGCTTACAAATAAATAATAAAAGAACAAACATTAATAAAAAAATATCTACTCAAATCAACTCATACATACAAATGTAATATTTTCTAGCTTGTTTTGCTTTTTTAAATTTTTATTGCTACAATATCAATATTTTATTGCAAACTGTTTATCATTCATGAACATTCTTTCGTTGAAATTAAATTAGTTGTTTTGAATTTTGTGAACAAGATGGTTGTTCATTTTGCTAGAAGTAAAATATCATTTTCTGCTCGAGCATTTATCATACTTATACAATTTATATTTGATCCTTTAGTCTATTACCACTTAAAGATGGGTTTTGAGCAAAACTTACATCCATAAATTTCAATATTTCCCTTTTTCTCCAGCAATAAAAAGTTGTCATGTGCATGATACATGGCATATTATAATTTAAAAAGTAAAAAAGAATAAGAAATTAAATATTAAATTAACTGATATATTTATCATTTAAAAAAGAATCATTGCTAATTTTTAAAAATAATTATCATTGTTTATTAACTCTTACCTATATATTTTATAATATTTTTGCATGTTTAAAAAAACTAAGTTTTTTATAATTTAAAAAAATAGGATGTTGGTGGCATTGTTTATTAAATGTTTCATTTGAAAAAAAACAAGCAAAGAAAAATAATTGGGTTAAAACTTAAAATTCTGTATACTACAATCAATTTATCTTTTTTAAACTAAAGTTTTCCACGGATACAACCGATCTAATGGTAGGCTTAGCCCACAATGATTACTTTACGCTGGCAGAAACGCTCAACGATTATTGCCATTTAGTGGGAATTGTTAAAAGGGCTTTTGAAACCCGGGTCAGATCAGCCCAGAAGGTGAGCAATTGTCGATTCCAAGTAGATAAAAAGGAGAAAGAAATACACTCATTGGGAAATAACGGCAGTGGGGAAAATGGAGGAAGATTGAGAACTGAACATAAAGAAGTATGGTTTAAATAGAATAAAATTTTAAGCGCTTAATTAATGTTTTATGATAGTATTTCACACTGAACATTAAACATCCCTCAAAAAAAATAAAATAGACTGCCATTTTAAAATAGTGATTATTAATTGTGAAATTGTTAAAGAAACTAAACTAATTTTTGTATTGTGATACATTTGATCTAATACGCCTCTAATATTATATATCAACTTTAAATTTAATTTTATAAATAAAATATCGATATTTGCAATTTATGTTATTATGTCATGTTAAAATGTATTTCATCTCGATTTTTTACATAAAAAATTTGAAATATTTATAAAATAATTTAAATTATAACCAATATAAGGTTAATATATTGAAAACAATAGAAGATTAATTTTTAAAATTATTCACCTGTAAAATTACAAAAAGTGAAAATGGAATAATCTAATTCTCAGGTGACAATATATATTCGTAGTTTAATCGCAAAATTATTAAAACCTATCCGTATATTTCAAGCAATAAAATTTAATGAATTTTTTTAAATTCTAATTTCATTTTATATAAAAGTGGGAAGATAAGCTCAATGTTGCTCAAAAGGATTTTGAACTAATCTCAGAAAATATCAAAAAAGAGGTGTGCAGATTCGAGAAGGAAAGGATAAAAGAATTTAAGGATACCTTTATTTTGTATTTGCAAAACCTGTTAAAGGCTCAGCAACAAGTAATTTTTTTTTCCAATTTTTTTTTTCCCATTTATCATATTGCTCCTTTGATTCTTTCTCATCTAAATTCTTTCTTTTTTTTATTTTTCTATGTGCAATCAAAGTTTTATTTTAATTTGTTTATAATTATAATATATGTGAATGATTTATAATTTATTATAATAGATCGTTAAATGTTGGGAAGCATTTTTGCCAGAAGCAAAAGTCATCGCTATTAACACTTAATCAATTGAATCCAAGATTTTTATTTAAAATAAAATTTACGCGATGGAAATTAATATATATTGCACATTAAGGAAAATGTTTTATATTATTTATCAAACAAAAATTATCGCGCAATTCATTTTATAGTATACTTTTAACTCGAATTATTATATATATTAATATACAATTGGCACAAAATTTGTTAAATTCATATTATTTTAACTTATAACATACATTTTTTTAAAATGAGATAATTGAAATAAAAAATTTCTCTATTAAAAATTGTCTGTGCTATGGGAATTTATTTTTTCGTATTACCTATTTCAATTATTATTCTAAACTTTGGGAATCATCCATATCAAGCTTTAAATCGAATAATAAAATATTCGCTATTAGTATTTGTATTAGCAATTATTTGATATCTTTCAAAAACTAATTTTTCTTATATTTTATTTCGTACACGAAAAAGATAAAATTAACATTATTACATAATTCATAATCGTACTTTAAGATAGTATTATAACAAGAGAATAATTATTTTTAAAATAAATTTATAAAAAAAAACTATTCTTTAAAGTAATAAAGTTTTCCTTATAATTTTTTTAGAAACACGCTGCTATCTTTAATAATTATATTTATGTGCTTATAAAAATAACCGCTCACAAAATGTAAAAGAGCTTTACTATTTCCTCTCACAATTGCATAATCTTTTTATAAATAAATAAAAATTCACTATCGCAATAAGTAGATTAATAATGCGAATGCCATGAAAAATATAATATTAGAGTTACAGTGGCATTAATTTAAAGATAAATAATCACGAATATTTACATATATTTCTAAAACTAACGAATATTTAATATAATTTACGAATATTTAAATTTATGATTTTTCAATGACTTTTTTATTCGATTCAAAATTTCCAAGAGTTCACACAAAATATCTTCTATAAATAAGCACTAAATTTTTTAATAATGTAAATTAAGGTCAAACCTCTCTTATTTGGGTCCTAATAATTCGGGCAACTCCATAATTTGACCAAAATTTTGAGGCCCAATCAAATTCCTATAAACTACTATTCGAAAATGCCTTGATAAACTCTACTTTAAAAAGTGTGTAGATTTTTAATTTTTTGTCTGCGTAAGACCTCTATAAAGTGTTAATTTATCGCATTCATTCATTTATATTAAAATATTTTAATTACAAATAAAGAAAAGAAATATAACGAGTTATTTAATTAAAAAATTAAATAGAGACAATACTCTGAAAGATTTAATATTTCTAAGGGAACTTTTCACAATATTCATAAATCCAAAATGACATTATCAAACGCCATGCAAATAAAACATATTTTACCATATAATAAATCAATTTTTATTAGGTATACAATCATTTTATTATTTTGTATAAGTTTTGAAAATAATGTCACTTCTAAACTATGAATATAAAAGAAGGTAAAATGTATTCCTAAAAAAAAGCCTTGATAAATGGGGCAATTCTCTAATTTGGGCGAAAATCCTTTTTCCGACGGTCCCCAAATTAGACAGTTCTAACTGTAATTAAATATTTTTTAAATTATATTTATATAATTAAATATTAAAAAAAATTAATTCCACCTTCTCTTCGGAAGAATTAAAAAAAGATTTATATTAAATCACGGACAATGTCCTGAACAATAAGACTTGGATGAAAGTATCTCGGAACGAGTTTAAGGAGTAATAATTTGTCAAATTTAATGTCCATAAATATTAATTGGTCTTTGATATTGGAATGGATTCAAGATCCATGTATCATGGGAAAAGAATAATCACTTGTTTTAATTCATATTTATGTAATTTTTTTAAATTTGTATAGATATCGGTTGTATTAAATTTGTGACAAATAGCTAAAGATTTTATTCATAAAAGAAATAAATTCGATTATGCATCATATTTTTTGATAATATTATAAAAACCATAGCCTCCCGCCAAATTTTAAATCAATACACCACTGGCAATACTATAATAAACCAGGCATATGATGACGCGAATATTATTCCTGTTGGATATATGAGAGTTCAGCTATTTTACAAAAATACTTAATAAATGATATCCTATATTTGATGCTTTATATGTAAACTACAAATTTTCTGTAAAAATCTTCCTGCTATTGTTATTTAAATAACAATGATTTTCTGACTAATGATAGTATATAGTTATATAATTTATGCAATAATACTTGTTACTACTATAAACTTAGTGAAAAATAAAAGCAATGATTGTCTTATAAAGATAAAGTTAGGCCACACATTTTCGAAATTTAACCAGCCCCCAGAAGAATCCATAAGGCGAGTGAAAAGGCTGTAATGTTTTTGTTGATATAAAATTTAAGCTTGATTGTGAAAAGGCATCCAATTGGATTATTTTTAAAGCACTTTATTTAAAATTAATAATTTTATTTTATTGGACGTTTTGAGGAAAGGTTTATATATGTGAATTTTTATCCCGCATTAGAACCTTAGTTCTTTATAATCCAAATTAATTTTTCAAGAAACTATTATCTACTCGACTTAATCTTTAGGCCATTTCCAGACAGAACGTTTTTTCAAAGCTGTTTTTGGGTAATATAACTAGCAATTTTTTTTTATTTCCAAAAAAAATGTTAAATTCTAGAATTAATTTTTTTTATATAATATATTATTTTATAAAAAAACGATCCGGAGCCACAAATGGCATTTAATCTTTATTAAAATCAAACCAGTTTGTTTTCTATTTACGATTAAAAAAATGGGGATTTAGATTGTTTCTTTTTAAATATTATATTAATAAAAATAATTAATTCGAGAAGTTACCATTTTTTTGGAAATAAAAAATTTATTGCTGCTAACATTACCCAAAAACCGCTTTGAAAAAACGTTCTGTCTGGTAATGGCCTTATATGGAGATTTAAATATTAAAAAAATTAATATTATATTTTTAAAAATATATTAAAAATTAGTGTTAGCAACGGTCCGGTCCCATTCGGTCCGTCCCTTTTTTCTAAAATGAAACCGAACCGATAGACCGTTAATTTAAGTGAGACCGGACCGTGACCGTGAAACTATCGGTTCAGTCCGGCCCGATCGATCCGGTCCCATCTAAAAAAAAATTTCATTAAGCTACAAAAGTATTATTCTGCATTAAATTTATGAAAAGTGTTAAATTACCAATATTTTAATTATATCATCAAATAATTTTTATTATATTACCCAATACAAATAAAGAATAATTTAAATCAATTTGATTTACATATTTAATTAGTTTTTTTGATATATGTATTAGAGGTCTGCATTGGGCGGATTTTTGGACAATAAGCCTGCCCACCCAATGTTTTAACAAATCTTAACTCGCCTGCCCAGCCGGCCCATAGTTTTCAAAAACAAATATACCCGTCCGCACGCCCATTAGTCTAAAATTTTTACCCACCCACCCATTATTTATAAAAAAATTTTATCCAAGCCGGCTATCATAAGATTTAATTATGGCCATTCTTTCAATTTTATAAGCATCTAATAAAAAAAATATTTCAGCATACCTCAAAAAGTTTTTAGGAAATTACTATATTAAGCATAAAAAAATATTCAATTTAAATTATGGAAAATTTATTTGATCAAATAAAATATTTATGAAAATTATATATATATAAAATTGATATTATAGGTTATTAATAATGCAAAAATAATAATGAATCAACATTTTCTGTATTCAAACACGTTCTTCTTTGTTCTAAAAATCTTCCAGCAATGCTAAATCTTCGTTCAGAAGAAGCACTAGTTGCAGGAATTGTCAATATTTTTCTTGCTAATCTTGATGATTTGGCAAATCTTTCTTGTCGTTTCCACCAAAGTAGTTTTAAATATACAAAAAAGTTTATTTATTTTAAGAAAAAAATTTTATGATACCAAGAAAGGACATTTTAATTTTTAATATCCAAAAAAGTTCATAGGAACAATTTTTTATTAATATTTACTAAAATGATTTTAAATTTTTTTAACCCGCCCGCTCACATTGTTTAAATTTCTTTAGCCATAGTTTAAAATATTTTTTAACCCGCCCGCCCGCTTGCCCGTGCTTAAAAAATTTTTGTCCGCCCACGGCGGGTCGAAATTCTGCTCAATGCAGACCTCTAATATATATAATGCGATAGATATATGGTTTAAAATAAATTTTATACAAATAAATATTTCAATTATCTTCTAAAAAATCAAGAATTATTCCATTTTTATCTATGATTCAAGTCTTATTATAAATTGAACCATCTTTGGATTCATTCTATTTCGTTTTTTTGTTATTTTATCATTTGTACATGCATATTAACTGAAAAGCAATTCATAGTATAGTAAACTTTTATCTTCTTTATTCGGTCCGCTCGTACCGGACCATCGGACCGTTGTCGGACCAGACCGTATCGTGGGACCCAGTCTAATGAGACCGCCTAGGACCGGACAAAGTAACAATTTGCATTCAATTCTTTAAAGAAATCTATTTATTTAAAAATATTATTAAAAATTAAACATCTTATTATTCATCCCACAATGGATGTACCTTATTAGATATTAACGCTACTGAAATATAGAATTATTTTTTTCATTTACATTCTTTAAAAGATATTTTCTGATGTCCTTATCAATATTCTATAGTCTTCTGTAAAATATATAATTCCCTATTGGTAAATATTATTTGATTGTCATACGATATTAGATAAAATTAGATATACTGTAAGTCTACGACACATAATATTCCACTGTTTGTATTGTGCGTTAATTTTTACTTAATTTATAATTTAATTTTATCAGTAATTTTATAATTATATTTTATTTTATTAAGAAAAATAAGTTAAAGTTACTTACTTTATAAAAAATTATATTCGAGGTATTATATTATTTAGTAATTTTATGGATCTATTAATAGCAATTATAACACATTTCTTCACTTTTGTCTTAAGACTTATCTTTGGCTTATATTTCATTTCCTAAAATACATTTGGCTTCACTTTTTTTATATATAATTTGCTTTTTTCCAAAAAAGTATGAATTATAATCAATAGTTCAAGGTATATGCACACATTATTAGGGAGGGGGTGGGGAGAGAACTAAGGAGGATGCTATTATTAGCTTAAAATGATATTCACAAAAAGTGATAAATTTCTGAAAGGGGTCCCTTGCCCCACCCCCCTTAC